GAAGCGGGGCTTGGGGGGGGGGAAGGAAGCAGAGTCCCTGGGCCCCCTTCCTCACCCTCCCCAAAACAGAATGCTGCTGTTTACCTGCCGGGGAAATGAGCATTTAACATTTAACTTTAGAAGGGGTAACTTCTCCCGAACCAGGGAGCTTGTGAAGAAGAAGCTGAAAGGGAAGGGAAGGAGGATCAAATCCCTTCGGGAAGCTTGGAGACTATTTACAACTACAATCCTTGAAGCTCAGATAAAATGTATACCATAGGTTAGGAAAGGTACAAATAGGTACAGAAAAAGGCCTGGCATGGTTAACAAACAAAGTAATGGAAGCGGTAAAAAATAAGTAGGATTCCTTTAAGCAGTGGAAGGCTAGTCCAAGTGAGGTAAATATAAGGGAGCACAGGCTGTGGCAAATATAATGGGACCATGAGGAGCACAGTGCAAAAAACATCAAGACCAACAATAAACATTTCTTCAAATACATTAGAAGCAGAAAACTCGTCAGGGAGACGGTGGGGCCCTTGGATGTCCTAGGCATGAAAGGATTACTGAAGGATGAAAGGGAAATGACAGAGAAGCTGAATGCTTCCCCCCCCCCTCTGTCTTCACTGTGGAAGATGGGAGGTGCTTGCCCACTCCAGAACTGCTGATTTCGGGAGGGGTGTTGAAAGACCTGAGTCAGATTGAGGTGATGAGACAGGAGGCCCTATGACCAGTGTTCCCTCTAAGCTGAGTTAGTGTGAGCTGGCTCACAGTTTTTTAGCCTCTGGCTCACACATTTTTCTCTTAGCTCAGGAAGAATGGCTCCAGAGCAAACTAATTTATGCAGTAGTCGAATTGCTTGCTCACAACTTTAACGGCAGTAGCTCACAAAGTAAAATTTTTGCTCACAAGACTCCACAGCTTAGAGGGAACATTGCCTATGACTGATGGACAAATTAAAAACTGAGAAATCACCAGGCCCGGATGGCACACATCCAAGAGTTCTGAAAGAACTCAGGTGTGACTTGAGGATCTCCTGACAAAAATATGCAACCTGTCTTTAAAATCTGCCTCCATTCCTGAGGACTAGAAGGCAGCTAATGTAACCCACATGGTTCCAGAGGAGATCCAGGAAATTACAAGCCCATCACTCTAACATCAGTACTGGGTAAATTGGTGGACTCCATTATTAAAGACAGAATTAGTAGGCACACTGATGAACAAAAGCTACTGAGGAACAATCAGCATGGATTCTGTAAGGGAAGATCTTGTCCCACTAACCTGCTAGAGTTCTTTGAGGGGGTGAACAAACATGTGGACAAGGGTGACCCAGATGTTGTTTACCTAGACTTCCAGATTTTAACAATTTTGTTTATGGCCTTTTCTGGAGTTTTAACATATATATTTATATGTATGATCTGTAAGCCGCCCTGAGCCTGCTACGGTGAGGAGGGTGGGATAAAATCTAACAAATAAATAAATAGTTCCTCATCAAAGGCTCCTAAGTAAACTCAGTAGTCATGGCATAAGAGGACAAGTCCTCTTGTGGATTAAAAACTGGTTAATTAACGGGAAACAGAGAGTGAATATAAATGGGCAGTTTTCACAGTGAAAGAGGGAAAGCAGTGGGGTACCGCAGGGCTTGGTACTAGGTCTAGTGCTTTTTAACTTCTTCATTAATTATTTGGAGCTGGGAGTAAGCAGTGAAGTGGCTAAGTTTGTGATTGGCACTAAGTTGTTCAGGGCAGTGAGAACCAGGGAAGATTGTGAGGTGCTCCAGAGGGATCTGTTGAGGCTGGGTGAGGGGATGTCAATGTGACAAATGAGGTTAATGTGGGCAAGTGCAAAATAATGCACATTGGAACCAAAAATCCTAGCTATAAATTCACATTGATGGGGTCTGAACTGGCAGAGGGCAACCAGAAGAGAGACCTTGGAGTTGTGTTAGATTACTCACTGAAAATGTCAACTCAGTGTGTGACAGCAATAAAAAAGGCAAATGCTGTGCTGGGGATTATTAGGAAGGTAACTGAAAACAAATCAGCCAGTATCATAATGCCCCCGTATAAATCAATGGTGCGGCCTTGTTTGGAATACTGTGTACAGTTCTGGTCACTGGACCTCAAAAAAGATATTGCATTGGAAAAAGTGCAGAAGAGGGCAACTAAAATGATTAAGGGGGTGGAACACCTTTTCTATGAAGAAAGGTTAAAGAGATTAGGGCTCTTTGTTGTTGTTGTTCAGTCGCACAGTCGAGTCCGACTCTTCGCGACCCCATGGACTAGCTCCTGCCAGGCCCTCCTGTCTTCCGCCGTCCTCTGAAGTTTGCTCAATTTCATGTTCGTTGCATCTATGACTCTTTATGACTAGGGCTTTATGACTATGACTAGGGCTCTTTAGCTTGGAGAAATGCAATTGAGTGGTGGGTTTACAAAATTATGCATGGGATAGAGAACGTAGAGAAAGAAGGACTTTTCTCCCTTTATCACAATACAAGCAACTCAGAGAAATTAATGAGCGGTAGGTTTGGAACAGATCAAATAAAGTACTTCTTCAACCAAAGAGTAATTAACACATTGAATGCACTGCCACAGGAAGCAGTCACGACTACAAGCACAGACAGCTTCAAGAGGGAATTAGATAAACATATGGAGCAGAGGTCCATCAGTGGCTCTTAGCCACAAGGTATAGATGGAACATTATGTCTGGGGCAAGTGATGCTCTGTATTCTTGGTATGTGTGTGTGTGGGGGCAACAGTGGGAGTTCTGGCCCCACTGTTGGACCTCCTGATGGCACCTGGTTTTTGGCCACTGTGTGACACAGAGTGTTATGCCAATAAAGGTCAACTGAACTGAACTGACACAGAGTGTTGGACTGGATGGGTATTGGCCTGATCCAACATGGCTTCTCTTATATTCTTAAGTATCCTGCCCATCAATCTCTGATTGTAATATATTTATTCCTCCACTATGTTTCCCCCAGAATTAAACCCAAACAAATGGTAACCATATAAACTAAGCTGTTATTCCTGTTTGGTTCTTGCATCCGTTTAAACATCTTCATTTATGTTTGTATGTTAATTTCCTGCTCACCCTCTAGCTATAAGTATGAACTGGTAACATCCACTTCACTGTATCTGAAGAAGTGTCTGTGCACACAAAAGCTCATACCCAGAATTAACCTGCGTTGGTCTTAAAGGTGCCCGACTGGACTCAAACTTTGTTCTGCTGCTTCAGACCAACACGGCGACCCCACCTGGATCTATCTGCTGTACACTAACAGGCATAATAATTCTTAGCATTGGTGTAAGGCTTTCAAACACTCGAAGTCCTTACCAACAGCCCCACAAGATAGCCCAGCATCATTTCCCCTGCATTCCATACCAGGCTGTGCACGCGGGGGGGGGGGAGGCTTGGGGGTGCTGAGGTCCAGTGCCTGGCCTCAGGACACCAAAGGCGTTCACGGCAGAAGGAGCTTGTGATTCGGAGAGCTCTGCATCTGTCTAGGCCCAGATAACTCCAGTGCACGGGAATGCCTGCATTTTAACGGACCTGCTGACACGGTAAGACTTCTTCACATCAAAGGAGCCGCGTGAAAGAAGAATCCTCACACCTTGGAAATGTGTGTGAGAGAGAGGCCCCTGGATCGGAATAAAGGATTTCACGCTTCTCCTCCACTGATTCATCCGTCACTAACGGCTGCCTCTCTCAGACCCCAAGCCCCATCCTTTGACTGCACCGTTCCGCCTCTCTGCATCCCGGAACGAGCCTTTGCCGTGTAAGGAAATGAGATCCAGTGCTGTGAACCACACGTCTGCCTGTGCTAATTAAAGCAGCAACTTTTGGAGAAGCTGGCCCTGCCCCCCCTCCCCCCCCCCGCCAAGTTGCCAAGGAGACTTTCAGACTTTGGCATCATGCGCTGCAGGGATCCCCTTCAAACGAGCAGGTGGGCTGGATGCGTGGCACCTCACAGTTCCAGGCTCCGCCCTGGGGGAAGGCCCTGTTGAGACTCCACGACTCCTGAACCCCCAATCCTTCTCTGCAGGACACCCCCCCCCCAATCTGGGGCACCCTTCCCTTCTGCAGAAATACTGCCTCACAGAAGGACTTCTGGATCTCTTGCAAGACCACCCGTCCCCCGTCCCCCCCCCGGACTTCCTGCACAGCCACTGTACCTTCAGGCAATGGAGGAAGAAGTCTCCAGCCAGGCCGCTCCCTTGGCTAAGAGACAGCAAGTCCACCAGCTGTTCCAGCTGCCACTGCTCCGAGGAAACCTTCTGATAGAGCGCCTCTTCTTCATCCCTGGGAAGACAGGAGGCAAGAGCCTTCCTCAGAGAGGTACAGCCACGATCCAGAACGCCCCTTCCCTGCCGCCGCCTGACTAAACAGGGGTCTCTCTGATCCACTGAGAGCAAGCCACGGTGCTGCTACACAGCAGTCCCGCCTAAGTACCGTGCGAGCCCTGCGCCTGAACGGGGACAACTCTCTGGCACTGCTGCATGCCACGGAGCCAGCCGTCTCCGGAGGAAGCTGCTCTGAGAGCAAACAGAAGGCTTCGTACTTTCCAGGGGAGGCCGTGCTGCAGCAAGCTAAGATGGTGCACTTTAAGGAATCCGCCACAGCTAGCTGATGCACTCACCTTTCCTCAGCGGAGGTACGCAGGAAGTCCCAGGTTCAATCCCCAGCATCTCCCAATTAAAAGGACCAGGCAGTAGGTGATGTGATAAGACCTTTCTCTGCCTGGGTGGGACCCTGGAGAGCCGCTGCCAGTCTGAGTAGACAAGACTGACCTTGATGGTGGATCAAATGTCTGATTCAGTACAAGGCAGCCGAAGTCTGTGGCGGCTCCTTACTGGTGGAATGAGCTCCAGGAGATCAGGGCCCTGCGGGATCTTCTGCAATTCCGCAGGGCCTGCAAGATGGAGCTCTTCCACCAGGCCTTCAATTAGGAGCCACCCACCACGACCATCAACGTCCACTGTTAACATCGGGGGCGTTGAGCTGGCGGTAGTTGAAAGCGAGCCAGCAGCTCACAAAGCAGGATTTTTACTCGCAAGACTCCACAGCTTAGAGGGAGAACTGGCTGCCATCCCTCTTCCTAATGTAGTGTCTGAGGGTAGCCGTGGCTGGTACGCAGGAGGGACTCTCGGAAGCTTATAAACGCCCCCCCCCCTCAGTCTTGTGGGTCTCTAAGGTGCTCCTGGGCTGAGATCTTGTGACAGGCCCAAGGTCACCCGGCAAGCTTCCGTGGCAGAAGAGGGGATTCGAACCTGGGTCACCCAGAGCACCAAGTCCACCCCGCTATCCACTCCACCACTCAGGCTCACGCACAAAAGGGCCTTTGGCTGCAGCGTCGCCCAGCCAGTCAGCCTCACTCGGCTCCTCACCTGACAGCCTCCTTGAGAGCGACCACGGCACCCCCTTCGCTGGCCACTCGGAACTGGCAGAGCGGGTGGAGAAAGCGGACGGCCCCTCCCAGCCTCGCCAGGCCTTCCAGGACAGACAGTGCCGCCTCCCTCTCGCACTTCTCCAGGAACCACAGCAAGATCTCCTGGCACGGGGCGCTGCGGAAGAGAAGAGCCGCGGGGAAGGGTCAGCCACACCGGCCGGCAGAGAAACACAAACCCACCCGGACAGATCAGGAAGGGCAGCCGTGTTAGTCTGCTTCTGAGCAGGAGAAAAGGCGCTCCTGCCAGACGGACAACATGTGTGGCAAGGCAGAGGAGCTTTCACTGTTCCTCACAAAACCTCATCCCCTACCAGGAGTTTTGTTAGTCTTTGAGGTGCTCCCGGACTCTGGCTCTTTTCTTCACCTGAACGCGTCAACGTTGCCAAGAAATCGCAGGTGAGTCCAAAATTCCTCATCAGATAACTTCCATTTTCATAAGAACATCAGAGAAGCCAATGCTGGATCAGGCCAATGGCCCATCTAGTCCAACACTCTTGTGTCACACAGGGGCCAGAAACACCAGGTGCCATCAGGAGGTCCACCAGTGGGGCCAGAATTCCAGAAGCCCTCCCACTGTTGCCTCCCCACCCAAGCGCCAAGAATACCGAGCGTCACCTGCCCCAGACTGAGAGTTCCTATCTATGCCTTGTGGCTAATAGCCACTGATGGACCTCTGCTCCATATAAGAACATAAGAGAAGCCAATGCTGGATCAGGCCAATGGCCCCTCCAGTCCAACACTCTGTCACACAGTGGCCAAAACACCAGGGGCCCTCAGGAGGTCCAGCAGTGGGGCCAGGAGACTAGAAGCCCTCCCACTGTTGCCCCCCCCAAGCACCAAGAATACAAAGCATCCCTTGCCCCAGACTGAGAGTTCCTATCTATGCCTTGTGGCTAATAGCCACTGATGGACCTCTGCTCCATATAAGAACATAAGAGAAGCCAATGCTGGATCAGGCCAATGGCCCATCTAGTCCAACACTCTGTCACACAGTGGCCAAAAATACCAGGGGCCATCAGGAGGTCCAGCAGTGGGGTCAGGACACCAGAAGCCCTCCCACTGTTGCCCCCCTCGTCCCCCAAGCACCAAGAAGACTGAGCATCACGTGCCCCAGACTGAGAGTTCCTATCTATACCTTGTGGCTCATAGCTAATAGCCACTGAATGGACCCCTGCTCCAGATGTTTATCCAGTTCCCTCTTGAAGCCGTCCATGCTTGTAGCCGCCACCACCTCCTGTGGCAGTGAATGCCATGTGTCAATCACTCTTTGGGTGAAGATTTCAAAATGGGGACAGAATTCTGGGCGGGCTGGAAGGAATATGTGCACCACCTGGGTCTCTACCTGAAGTCAGGAGCCCGGAGCCACCTGCAGGCTGGGCATCCAGAAACATCCAGCTGGGATTCCCAGCAAGGGGCCCATAGGTGCCACACCACCTGCTGACACCTCTCCTGGGGCCCGCCAAGTGCCTTTGGGAAGTGGGCAGGGCCAGGGGTGGCTTCTGCCCAGCAAGGGTTCGGCAGCAGCTGCCGCCACAGCACCAGGCTCTTCACTCTGACTGGAGGGAAGCCACGGCAGCCATTTTGTGACTGGACCCACTATGCTGTGTGAGAATTTCGAAGGTGCCCACAGGCTCTAAAAGGCTGGGGACCCCTGCATTGGGCCTCGCCAGCTCATTTAAGGGCACCACCCGGGATGCACACACACACAGACCTCATCCCTGTTTCTTCCCCAGGAGCCAGTGAGTCCTTTCCCCCCAAAGATGGCCTGGCTGTGATGAAGGCACTGCCAATCAGCTCCTTGGAGGAGGAAGCCTGCCTTCTGCGCAGAGCCAAGCACTGCCCTGCTTCTCACAAAACAGGAAGCATCTTCCAAAGGAGTTACTTGCAGCAGCAGCAGCTGCAAGCCGCACGCGCTGCCTCCCTGCAGGAAGGTTCCTCCCAGGCCACCAAAAAGAGTTTTTGATCAGAAGAACTCCCCTGCCGAGCCCCCCCTCCCCGTCCGGTCAGACTCCTTACCGTAAGAAAGACACATTCTGCTTGGTGAAGCAGCAGAGGGAGAAGAGGACTCCCAGGGCTGGCTGCAAGGAGCCCAGCAGCATGGCCGAAGGCGCGTGGTCGGCAAGATACACCTGGGAAGAGTGGAGAGATTGCAAAGGTTTGAAAGCAAGGGAGAGAGCAGGAGGCACCCGGGGGCCTCCCTCCCCAGGCCGCAAGGGTCAGGCCTCCCCGCAGCACGGCAGGCCCCGGCCTCGGCCTCAGGAAAACGCCAACCCCTGCAGCAGCAGCGAGAGGAGACTTTAAGCCCCCCAGCTGCCATTTATGCTCCCAGGTGAGCACCTGGGGTGAGTCCCCCCCTCTGGCATCAAGTGACACACGGCAGGGAAAGCCTCAGGAACATTTGCAGGCTCACCGTCTGCTGTGCTGATCTCTCCGCCCTCAGGGGCCCAGCATGTGGCCGCCAGCAAGAGACCCAACTCTGCAGCCACCCACCTGACCCCTGGGCTGGTTTCCACCCGCCTCGTCTGGCCTGGCGGCTGCTGAAGAACCATCCTCTCGCCCGTTGTGCTTAAAAGGACAGTAAAACGCCCTTACAGCTGCCACCTCCATCATGGGGAAGGTTTGGTGGGTTGTTGTTGTTGTTTTTAAACACCCCTTCTGATCAAGGGCTTTTGCTTTGCAGAGCTGCGAATCTTGCACCCTCTCCCTGCCACCCGTCACTATTTGCCTGGAGAGCCACTGGCTGTCAGCTATGCCGCCATGGGGGTTGGGATGTTCTTTCAGTGTCTGTGTAAATCGCTTTCGCATTCCTTTCTCTCTGCTCTGCGCTGACATGCTAATCTCCAAAGCCGTACAGGTGGTAATGTGTGTTGTCTGCCTTCAAGGCCGACCGTGGGAGCCGCTCAATTCCCAGCTTCGCCTAGTAACGCTTGCCGGCTCTTGTCCGCGCGCAGGAGGGTGCCTAATTGGCCAGCGCAGTGTCAGCATACTATCAGGTATGAAGCAAGATGACAGCCTAAGAAAGTAAATGGTGGAAATTATTCTGATCTGGTTGACAGCAGAAGGAGTCATACGATCATGTCACCAGGTTAAGATTGCATCTCAGTTGCATCAGCTAAAATGATGTCACCATGAGTCAGCACTGATCACTGATTGGTGCTGAACATGTATATAAGTGTGTAAAGTACTTGTAGAGGTGTTCACTCTGTGAATGCCTTGCTGCGGAGCACTCTGCCGGATTGTACAGCGATTTGGAGTTGGAGAGTGCTATATGAACTGTGTATATATCTGTGTAAATAAATCCACTGTGAATAGTCAGCACTAGCAACCTGGTACGTGTGGTTACTAGACGCTTCACATGCTAACACGCAGTGGGGGGGGGGTGCATACGAATGCTCATTAGGTTCAAGAGGCAACTGCTATTCTTAACAGTGACTGTGTTAATGCACCTATGGCTCTTCAATAAAAGTATAACCTTTCTAAAGAAGTGGGTACTCTGTTGTTGGCTGTGGGTTCTGACATTGGCCAGGCAAAGACGTAGTGCCTGAGAGTGGTGTCTGTTTGCTTGCCTCTCCCTTCCCACTCCTGGTTCCCAGGGCTGGGAGGAAGAACAGGCGCACTTGAACCCACGAAGAAGCTGCCTTACACAGAATCAGGCCATCGGTCCCTCAGGGCCCATCTTATCTACACAGACTGGCAGCGGCTCTGTCTCCAGGCTCTCAGGAGGAAAAGGGTCTTTCGCATCACTTACTACCTGATACTTTTCGCTGGAGATGCTGGGGACTGAGCCTCTGGGGCCTTCTGGAGGCAATGCGGACCCTCTCTGGCACTGAGCCACGGCCCCTCTCCTCCCTTTCACTCCTCCAGACAGGGACCATCCGTCTCCCCAGTGACTGCCGCTTCCGAAAGCAAGCTTGCAAACTAGTCTGCTTGAAAGGCTTCCACCCCTCAACACCCCCGCTTCTGAGGTTAAAGTCCCAGAGTGCTGGGTAAGCAGTGCTACGCACGGCACGGCATGACTTCCAGCGGAGCAAACCATGAAGGGCAGCATCCACCCATGAAGGCAAAGCGGAACATGCACCACAGCAGCGGTGATCCTCCGCTCCAGGACAGAAGCACCGCAGAACGAAGTGGCGAGGGAACTTCTGGAGGGGCCGGACCGAAGTCTGTATCAGCCCCAGCTGGGGTGAACGGGAGGCAAGGCACGAGGCAGAGGCGCTGGGCGGCAGGGCACCCCCGCAGGGTTTGGCCTGAGGGCCCTCCGTGGGGATAGCAAGCCCAACACAAGCGACCGAGGAAGGGCCCCGAGTGCTTCCAGGCCTCTCAAGACAGCCGAGGCTCCCATATCTGGTGTGGAAGGAGGGAGGCTCCGGCCCGCAGGCAGATGCGGGCATATCTCGTGTGAAAGGAGCGAGGCTCCGCCCCGCAGGCAGATGCGGCTTCAAGAGCCTGAAGCACCGAACAGCTCACGGAGGGATGCCGAGCCGCCAGCCCCCTTGGAACATGCCACCACCAAGGCTCCCTCTAAGCCGTGGAGTCTTGCGAGCAAAAATCCTGCTTCGTGAGCTCCTGGCATGAAAGTGGTGAGCGAGTGATTTGGCTGCTGCATCAATGAGTTTGCTCTGGAGCCCTCCTTCCTGAGCCAAGGCAAAAATGTGTGAGCCGGAGGCTAAAAAGACTGTGAGCTAGGTCACACTCACTCAGCTTAGAGGAAACACTTTGCACGAGGACTACCCCAAGTTCAATCCCCGACATCTCCAGTTAAAAGGCTCAGGCACTCGGTGACATGAAAGGCCTGCACCCGAGACCCTGGAGAGGCGCTGCTGGGTCGGAGCAGACCAGACCGACCCGGACAGACCGAGGGTCTGATTCAGACCGTGGTGCTGCTTCACGTGCTTGCATGCTCCCAAGGACCGGTTTTCCCTGCCCACAGTCTCTGGGGTTAGAGGCTGTACCTTAAAGACGTTTTCCACACATCCGGTGAGCTCCTCCTCCTCCACCAGCACAGCCTCTGCAGGAAGGTCTTCCGGAGACAGCTCTGAATGGAACAGAGAAGGGGACCATCAGAACGCTTTGGCTACAACTAGCCAGGTCCTCAGGACAGAAACTCCCCTGGAACAGCTTGCTAGCGGGCCGGCCCATTTTCTATCGCCTTGACCCGGATGGCCCAGAGTGGACGGATCACATCCTGTCTCAGACGCTAAGCAGGGTCGGCCCTGGTTAGTACTTGGATGGGAGACCACCAAGGAAGTCCGGGGTCGCTACCCAGAGACAGGCAACCAGAAGCCATCTCTGAATGTCTCGTCTTGAAAATCCTGTAGCGTCCCCATAAGTCAGCTGCAATTTGACAGCACTTTACACACACACACACACACACACACACACTTCAAACAACACAACACTGAGCAGAACAGTCTGTCACAAAACCTGGCCCTTGAGAAACCTGCTAAGAAAAGGCTCAGCCAGGGGAAATCCCAAAGTGGGAAGATCTATTCTCTCTTGCTCCAGATTGCAAGACTGGATCTAATGGGTGGAAATTACAAGGGAGTCGATACCGGCT